GTCTTCCTCTCGTATTCACTAAATCATAAACCCTCAAAAAAAAAAAAAAATTCATATATTTACTTATTCGGATCTGACTACTCCGTCCTCCGGAATTGACCGCTATTCAACCGGTGTGGAAATGGCACCTTTGTCCGGAATAATGCGCCTGCAGGTTCTGGGTGAGACACTCATTTTATCGCCTCCGGTGCTCCCACGTATGGTTGACTTACAACACAGGGTGTTATCCGAGGACCTATTAAGATATGTCTCAATCCTGAAATTGACCTGTGTATGGGTGGGTCTTTGTTGAGACACCGAAACGGTGTTTGTTCTTGTAGGCCATTTTCGAGTTCATTGTGAGACGCACTAATAATTTATGTGCACATTTGCTATAGGGGTTACTAGGTTCATGAAAAATCCATGGACAGCCCTTTTATTCCTTTAGACATCAGATTATTAGGCGTGCTGGCCTTCCCTCAAACTTGTGGCCAGCACCCCTGCCCGAACTAACCGATTAAAAAAATATACGAGAATTCACGGTCTGGGCATTTCCGGTTAAATGGGCTGGTAAATTACCGCATAATTTGCAACTCAAAAGTACAGAAAAGCTTAGACAGATGGAAAAAAACACGTAATAAAAAGAATTCAACGTCGCATTGTGCTGTTCGTGTTTGCACTCTGCCAAGACCGCCTTAAATACCAGTAGCGCGTTGCCAAGCCCGACTTAGCGTTTTCTTTATCGGCCCTATCGGCGTACCAGACCCATGGTTGGTTGGTATCCATACCCGTGGTCAGCTCCGAGCATACTCCGTACAATAATAACTACTATTCGGTTGTACTAGCGGACATATGGATATTATGACAACGGAACTCCCAATATCTAACTGATAGAGTAATATATTACAACATACAAATGGAAGCGGGATTTGCGCCTGAAACTAGCTCGTCAGCGAACCATTCGCTCTGTCCTCTTCTCCCATATGGAACCTTACTCAGACCCTGAATTCCCACGTTCTGTAATAAATGATTAAAATATTATTAGAATGCTCTAAAACCAGGTTTCTCGCTATGTCAGTTCTATTTTCAGGTGTATATTTCCGTATTGGTAGTGGCTGTCAGAGACATTGTTGACGGTTCAGGGCATCCAAGGTTGTGCGATATCAGATGAAGTGTTTGGTCACCTACTTAATGACATGGATCCTTGAATCCGAATATTTTTCCATCTCCAACTTTTCTCTCGCATCTCTCTCTCTTCTACGCTCCAACGTCCATTCGTTTTTTTTAATCCACTACACTCGCTTTAATTCAGTTAAGATGCGTTTCTCTACCGTTCTATCTCTCCTGCCTCTGGCCCTCTCCGTTGGAGGTATGTAAAATCACCCTTGGCATGAGAGACTCTCTAACAATCATTTTAGCTATCAAGGTCACTGAGCCCGCTAAGAATGACGAGGTCGATGTGTCCGGCTCTTTCACCGTGAAGTGGTCGTCGGTTAGGTATTTTTACTGCCATCTCTCACACATTACCTCGGCCATGATAGCCAAGGCTAACCTATTACAGCACTGACGCCTCCACCGTTGACATCGTCCTTGTCAACAATGCCGTCTACCCCAACGTTGCGGAGAAGATTGCCTCCGGCGTCGACACCTCCAAGGGCTCCTACACTGCCTCTGGCCTGAAGGGCGTCACCGATGGGTAAGATCACTCTTGTGATTCCTCGATTGTATCTCGATGCAATCCACTAACACTCGACCTGCACCGCAGCTCCGGTTTCCAGATCAACCTGATCTCTACTGAGTCCAAGAACACCGGCATCCTCGCCCAGTCCGAGCAGTTCGATGTGACCGAGTCCGCCAAGAGCTCCTCCAGCGCTACTACTACCGGTACATCTTCCACTGTCTCTTCTGTCTCTTCTACTGCCTCTACCTCTGCTGTCTCTACTGGTACCACTTCCACTGCTTCTACTTCTGCTGGTGTCTCCACCACTGAGACCGAGGCTTCCACCACTGGTACTTTCACCCCGGACGTTTCTACCATCAAACCCCCCTTCACCGGAAACTCTACCTCTGGCTCCCTTACTACTGGTCTCCCAACTGGCAAGAACAGCACTGACCTCTCTATTATTACAGCTACCGGTTCTACCTCTACCGGAACTACCACTGGCACCAACACCTCCACCAACACTGGTATGACTACCAGCGCTTCCTCCGCCACTGGCTCTGCTTCCGGCTCTGCCTCTGCCTCCCCTACTCCTTCCACCGGTGCTGCCATGGGTCTCGTTGCCCCCGGTGCCGCTGCTGGCCTTCTGGCTGGTGTCCTGGCTCTCAACCTGTAAGTTGTAAATTGAAAATCGGCTGTTGTGCCGAGCTTTGGTATATGCCGAGGGTCGGTATCACCTCAGCTTCAAGTTCTGCTGAGTTGAGAACTGCGCTCTGAGGATTTGGTTATTTGTGGACGAGGGGTAATGAATAGATGGGCTTCTGCTTTTTATTTCCTTTTTTGGAGGTGATAAGTCGGTCTTTCTAGGCTTCATCTATTGATGTAGACTAGATGTGTAATTGGATGATGCATGCATGCATGGGCTTGCTTTTTTTTGCTTTTACTTTCGGCTTTGTTCTCTTCATTTGTGTAACACTCCATAGATCTATCCAGCTCTGGCTTGTTAGTATTATTTGATATCCCAGCCCTAGACGTATTATCTACAGCATTCCCTGGGGTCGACTTCCTTACTTCTTCACGCCGCTCTTCCACATCTCTTCCACTCTGCCATCACCCACCACCCAGCGCACGGGTCTGGGCATTTGAAATTTAAGTATTCCATTCTTCTCTAACAAATTTGGACTTTCGGTGACACATCATACGCGTATAGCCGCAGCTCGAAGCGCCTCCTCTGCGCAATCAAATATGGACGATTTGGGAACCCCAGACCCGTGACATTCATCCGCTTCCTACATCCCTAGTACTTAGCATGAGCACCGGTGACATGTGGCTACGTTCAATGTTGGTTCCGGCCCAACTTGGTTGAATGCAGGAACCATCATCTAGTCAGGACAAAGAAATTCCGATACTCGACCCCAGCACGAATCATGTAATTCTGGGTTCGATACCATGTTGGCATGCTATTCAAACTGGGAACTGCAACGACCATGAAAGCCTGAACACACTGACCAATAGACAGCCTCACTGTTGGTACTTCATCATCCGCACCAGAGGCAATTCCAATATCTCAAACTTGAAGTGATTATGGCACATCGGGCATATATTTGGCAAGTCTAGGGCTCCAAAGCCCTCTCTTCAATCTCATGTCTCGCCCGAGCCCTTTTCGCCTTCACACGCTGTTTCTTTCTCCTATTGGCGAGTCGTTTCTGCTCCTGCCTTTCGGCGACGGTAAGCCCAGGTCCGCCTCTTCTATCCGTGTTCGCCCTCTTCGCGGCTGCAGTACTAGGCGCCTCGTCCTCGCTGTCTTCCATTTCATTGCCCTTCCGCTTTTGAGAAGATCTGCCCTCCGTCTGTCCTGGATGCCTGGGTTTGTCAATTGACTCATTAACCGAGGTCGAATCGGACATTGGCGTCATGGTTATCGCCGTCTGCTCCTCCGGCATGGGTGTCTTTCTCTGCGCCGCTCTCCCCTGCGGCGCGTGGTCTTCCTCTTCGTCTTTTCTTTGTTGGTTCTCCTTCCTCTCCTCGACTGGTCCCTCTTCATCCGACGATTCTGCTGTCTCACACTCGGTCTCTTCGGCTTCGTCGTCAGTGCCCATATCCGGAATTTCCTTTCCTTTCAGCATTCTTGCACATATCTTCATTTTTTTCGCGATATCGTTATCGACAATCCTCTCTGCGCCATGTTAGCTACGACACTTGTCATGTGCCACTCAAACCTACTTTCTTCGCTTTTCATCATCTGCATGAATTCCTCCACATGTTTGTGAGCTACAGAGGCCCTTGCGATGCCAAGGTCAGGTATTTCATTTAGCCCCTCCCAATCAACTTCATCTGAGCAATCTATCCGGCGATTGCTTCTTGGTGGAGTACAGAAGGCTTGCTTCAATATGGGATTTATGCTCTCTTCACTTCCATCTGGTTTTTGGAGTAGTACCGACCTTCCCTAGAGATCTTAACACCAGATATGACGGCAATACTCACAAATGGACATAAACGGTAGCCATCAATGTCGCCCTCGCGGTTATACCGGTGCTTGCAGTACCGATCTCTCTAGAATGCAGAGTCAGGCCTCCGCAATGGATTAAAAATATTGTCCAATAATGCTTCACCTTTGTGCTATACCTTTCGTTGAACTTTCCGGTGACGATTGTATACTCGCCAAAGACATCCTTCAGGGGGCCATGAGTCGGCTAATATTCCATGATCAGCGTTTTCACATAGTTGGAAAAGCTATCTTCAAACTTACTGGTGTGTCAGAGGAATCGACACGTTGTGCTTGCATCCGAAGTGGTCTACCGGACAGGTTAGAACCGGAAACTCCCATGGTTATTCTAGATATTACAAATTCAAGGCAAAGGAAATTGAAGTTATTCATGGGAAGGCTCTATAAAAGAAAGGGGATATTTTGGAGATTCTTCCGATCTTGCTCCCTTGACGACTAGTACGGGTGGATCTAGCTGTAGACGTATATAGGGGGAGACCTACTCGCTGGTGAATTGCGCCTTTCAATTGTAGAAAGCTAGTTGATCAGGAATTCAAATCCAATCATGCCAACAGTAATGCGACATAACATCCAAAAACATGTTCATGGCGTGGAAATCACAGGCTGGAATTTGACCTTCTAGATTTCCAGCTCTCCCTGTCCTTCAACGAGCTTCGGAATATCACCGAGAACAGCTTTGCGATCCCAGGCCCTGCGTCGGGCTTCTGAATTCTTCCATGTCACCATCGACATCCACGGCTTCTCTGGTCCTTTCCCATGACGTTCTTCGTCCAAAATATCATCAGTACACCAGCCACTGGCAATACTCGAGGGCGCATCGTTAGACTTGAGGAGATCCGTGTTCACGGCCCGAGAAACGCGAGACAGATTATCTGGAAGCCCTGCTTAACGCTCGTATAGGGAAGAAAGCAAAGGAGACATCAGTCGTGCAACAGTTGAGCTCTACCGGAGGCACAATGCCAACTCCTTCCTCAAAGGTTGTATGGAACAAATCAATTGTTCCAGCAACGATCGTATTGAATTCTTCCATAAACGGTTGGTAATGCGGAGCAGCCATGAAGTTGAGGTGGGACTTCAGGTCATCCCAATCTTGGGGAGACTGTTATTTCGTGGATCCATCTGATTCTCTCATCAAGAAGGGACTCACCGACAATCATAACCATCACAGTAGGGTCATTTTTGCACAAGCCCCATACCATGCGCTGATATCCAGGCTGCTCAATCGTAGCCTGGATCGAGTTGTCGAGGACCTTTGCTACCTCGCTATTCTCGTCGCGTGGATCGGCCCCCTTCACCAGGGGAATGATGGCCACTTCTGAGACAGGGGCACCCATATCTGGGAGTAAAATATTTGTCAAACGTGCTTTGAAGTAGAATAGTGATAAGGTGGTACAATTCGAAAAGGGGGACAATTTCTGTGGAAACTGGGAGACTGGCTCTATTTATATACCGCAGCAGCCCGGAAATGCATGCAAGCGTAGAGTCTCAATGGCTAGCCTCTTATGCTCATTGTTCAATAGAGAGAGACTACGTACACTCGGTAATTGATCCTAATAACGATTGCCTTCCGACTAAATATTTGTAATGTATAACTTTCAATCTAGATAAGCCACAAGCTGCCCTTGGTAGACTTGTATAAGGCTCGAGAGCAAACAAAACAGATAAAGATGGCATGTGACACTGTGACATCATCGCATCTAGCATCTACTGTACTCATCCTCCTCTCAGATTCCCCTGCCTTTTCAGCATACGCTCCAAAGCCGCTACTTAAGTGCCTAGGACAAAAAGACTGTTATGTCTGGGTAAGTCTCGACTTTCAATTCCGAGGTTCAGGAATGCCCGCGTCTCCGCTCCAGCTCCTTGCTGTCGTCGGGGAGGCTGGAGTGTCAGAGTGAAGTTCCCACCTCTGGTCTGGTCCTCTGCTCGGTGCCAGCAAGGAGCGAGCCATGTCGACGAAGCGGGGTATCAGTGAGAAGCGTGGATGAATCTTTACACAGCTACAGAGCTCGATGGCAGTTCAGATACCCTGTCTGACACATCTTCTGCTTTTTGCATTCCCGCTCTTCTGCCCCTCAGGTATTTTCAGGACATGTGGAAACTGAAGCGAAAAGTGTTCGCCGGCTTGCCGAGATGAACGGGGAATGCAATGAACTTTCTGTCACCCTCCACTACCCGGAGGTCTGCTGTCCAAGCCGTCGAAGAAACCCTCAGCGATGTTGATGGACCGAGTGTGTCCGTCAGATGGCTAAAGAGGCAGCGAATACTGAATTTCGACAACCATATGTATCACTCAGAGCTGAACTCGGAGAAGCGCACCTGCTACACCTACTACCATTCGGGCTCATGTTCTTTTACGAGGCGTGGAGGGTAGGGACACCGATCCTCCCTACCGGCTAAAAGGCATCAACATGATATTTGATACGGGAGCCCATGGTACCATTGTCGCAGAAGATCTCCTCCCCCAGAAATTCCGGGAATACTTGAAGGACTCAGTTTATTGCCCATATCGCTTAAGCAGAGGCCTAGCTCTACAAATGTAGCTTTGACGAATTGCCCTATTTCCATTGGCGCCATTGCCACCATTGTGCCGATAGTCCAGATGTCGAACGAGCTTGTTGGGATATTGTTCAGACAATCGTCAATGCATTGATCGCCTTAGCCTTCGGACAATTCCTCGGCGGATTGTGCTTGCAAAGGAAGAAGAAATCTCAGAGGAATTCTGGGGAGATAGTATAGTGGAGGAATGTTGAACGAGGACAACGAAATTGTCTCCCTCTAAGCAGCTTCGCCTCGAGCTTCTCTCTGCTTCTGCTTCTCGAGCGCCTTCTCCAGCGCCTTCTCCAGCTTCTTCTCCAGCGCCTTCTCCGGCTTCTTCTCCGGCTTCTTTTCCGGCTTCTTCTCTGGCTTCTTCTCCGGCTTCTTCTCCGGCCTTTCCTCCAGCTTCTTTCCAATCTTCCTTTCTTCAGGTTTCTCCTGTGACTTCTGTTCCCCAGTTCGCTTTTCGTTTTCTTCTTCTCCGGTTCGCATCTTCTTCGCTCGAGGACCCTCATGCTCCTCAGCCTGCTTGCTCTTGCGTTTCTTCTGTTTCTTCTGCTCCTCGTGCTCTTTGGACTCTTTCTCCGGCTTTTCCACCTTCTTGTGACAGGGTTTGGGTTTGAGGCTGATATATCTTGCCGCTTCGTTTTTATCCTCAGATGTGTTGCCCGCGCATTTTACCATGATCTCGCTCGCAGTTGTGGACATCACATCCTCGTCCACCTTCGGCGTCTCCCCTTCACTGGGCTGATTCCAGTCGAGGCCATTGCATCTGTGATCAAAGATGTAATCTCACCATGGTGTTGTCGCTCAGTTCCCTCAATTCCAGCTTCCTGGTGTCAGCTATGCCACGTACTAGGACAGACCAAGCCATACCTTGCTCCCGCTCTAATCGTTCGATTTTGCTCCAAATCCATGGGCCCGGACGACTGGTTTTCTCAATCAACAATCAGGTATGCAGGCAATTTGTCCCAAGGGACCTACCTCATCTGACCAATTTTCCCAATCATCGCTGTTAGGTGGGCGGTACGAGGCTGGCTTCTTTTTCACATGAAGCTTCTCTTCACTTCCATCCGGGTTGATTGAGGAGTACCAGCCAGTCCTGTGTCGCAAGATCTGATATTAGAAAGGGTGCACTTCGTAGTAAGACATTTTGACAGGTCGCAAGGCAGAAAAAAGCTTACACATGGATGTAGTGGTAGGATTCAGCGTCCGGATAACGGCCATACGCATGCTTGCAGTACCAATCTCCCTAGAATAAGGTCAGACTAGTGGTCTATCCACAGTTCTTGTTCAACGATTTCTCACGGTTCGCGTTGTAATTTGCTGCTACGACCTCGCCTGGGCCAAATTTGGCCCAGCATCGCCGCTGTCGCTTCTGAGGGACACTCATATCGAGCTGAGAAATTTTAGATTAAATCTATCATTCTGTTCTTTCGAGGTCATTGCCCTTGACTCACTGGCTCATACCACAACCTGTATTTTTATGTGTTGGAAGCCATCGTGCGATATACGTTGAGATTAAAGGAGACATGGATTAACAGGGGAAGTGGGTATTTGAAGCTAAGAACCTCCAAGCACCCAGAGCATCAGACACTTCTTCTACATGTAAAATGCAAAGCACTTCACTATTAACCACTTTTACAGCCTCAATACGAGCATCTATCTACATCCAATCCAATACATCCCATTGAATCAATCTAGATCCTCATCCAGAGGGGCGATATTTCATTTCAAATCATCCAACACATAATCATCATACAATATACGTGCAGAGAGGTATAGTTGGTATTGTTCCAGCCAAAACATCACAAAAGACCCCAACCCCAGCCCAATGAATCCCTTGCATCTTTTGAAAACCACCCTCTAATCTAATCCAAATGCATTCTCCAAAGTCCATCACCAAGATAATGGCCCTCATCAATAACAACTCCCTTCCCTTTACTCTTAATCTCCTCGGTGCCAACCTTCAGCATACCAACCATACAAATCTCCTCCTTCCCCTCAGCCTTGACACCAACGATCTGCCCAGCCTCAATCGCATGCTCGGCATCAGGTAGACGGCCCCCGGGGGAGGTGAGACCAGGAGCCATGAGCGTTGCGCCGGAGAGCACGAAGCGGATGGCGCCGCGGTCGATTTGAATGGTCGGGACGGCGGAGGGGTAGGCGTGGATGAGGCGGAGGTGGGGGACTGGGGGTCCGTCGATGGGTTGGAAGAAGAGAGGGGTTGAGTCTATTGTGTAGAGGGTCACGCGATCGGGTCTTGTGGGGGTGGTTTTGATTAGCTTTCTCGTTTCCAGAATGAGATGCATAGCATGTTTACGCTGAAAGCTGGAAATGACGTTGCTGGGATCGAAAGGCAAAAAATGGGGGGAGGATGGGAACTATACAGTTTCACGGCTTCCAATGACGCCTTCTTGGGCATGACATCTTCAATGTACGGCTCGAAGCCGGGGTATGTCTCCAGCAGCTTTTGGCGCAGGCCGCGCTGCACTGAGGACTTCACCTTAGACCGGTTGCTTGGGGGAATACTAGATGAAGTACATATGTTAGCTGGTGGCTTTTGTAAACTCTGTGGCAATAGCTGTCCCATAGTGTATGTCTTAATCTAGAGCGTTGGACAGCTCCTGCGGTCTTTGCAATGCCTCAAAACGGAGGGATGTGTGTGCTCCCATTTGGCACACAGGAGGTTCGATCAAGCCACTGGGCTAGCTGGAGGGTTGCCTTGAGTTAATTGAAGGGATTGACTCACTCTTTCTTAAACATAATGCTGGTTGAGGGCGTGATAATATGAGGATCAAGCTCTTGATACGCAAGTGGGATGCGCGGGGATGTTGTCACGTGACCAGCAGAGAGCTTTGCATCTTTTTACTTGAAGTTGAACGACTCAAGAACAGAATAAAATGTATGGTGTTACATTATGAATAATATGAGACATTGCAGGCCGATCTCCAAATATCAAGGCAAGAACTACTATAGAAGGGAAATGCGATATATCATGCGATGAAACAAACATATTGAACTAAGCGAATACGAACAAGCAATCAATGATAATTTACAACAGGCAACTCAAATTGGCTTGCAGAGAATACAAATCTACAATTAAAGAGAATAGATAGACTCATCAACACTGGTGTATCATTTAAACTATGGTCTATGTGCACCTAGTGCTTAGCAGCACCGGCCTTGATGAGCATGATATCGCCGTCCTCGACGACGTAATCCTTGCCCTTCGTCATAATCTTACCAGCAGCCTTGATGCTGTTCTCATCGCCGTACTCGCGGAGAGAAGCATAGTTGTACACAATAGCCTGGATGAAGGTCTTCTCGAAGTCGGTGTGAATGACACCAGCCGCAGCGGGAGCCTTGATGCCCTTGCGGATGGTCCATTGCCGGACCTCGTCCTCACCAGTGGTGAAGAAACTGCCCAAGTTCAAAGACTGGCGCATGGTAGTGATGATCTTAGGGAGACCGGACTTGGTGCCCAGGGACTTGCACTCAGCCTCAGCGGCCGCATCATCATGCATCAGGGTCAGACGTTCCTCGAACTGAGCCGACACGGGAAGAATTGGGTCGCCGGGCGAGTTGGTCTTGATCCATTCAAAGACCTTGGGGAGGTACTTGTTCTTCTGGCGGATGTAATCTCTCTCGCTCAGGTTGACAAGGTACACAACGGGCTTAGCAGTGAGGAGGAACAGAGGGTTGATAACTTCGACCTATAAACAATTTGGTTAGCATGAGATTTCTCAAAGAGTTTGAGTGATGCAATCATGTAGAAGTGGACTCCAAAATTTCAGCACATAACTGTTTTTCTCAAGGTGCCTCGGATTGTGAGTATCCTTTTAATGAGGCACTCAACGAGCTGGGTTAATTTCGAGCAGTGCTCTTATTCATCAGGTAAGGAGTTGGCATGGATAGAAGGGCAAGTTGATGTGGGGGAGAAGAAGAAAAAATTTTCAACATACCTCTTTGGGGTTCCAGTCACCCTTGCGGATGTCATTGCCAGCCTTCAGGAACTCAAGGATCTTAGCAGTAGTAGCCTCCTCTTCCTTGAGCTTCTTCATCTCCAGGGACTGTCCACCACGACGAGTCTGCTTGCTAAGAAGGTCGAGAGCCTTCTCAACAAACTCGATATCCTTAATGCGGAGCTCCTCGTTGATGATGCTCAGATCACGGCAAGGATCGACGTCACCCTCAACGTGGATAATCTCCGCATCATCGAAGCAGCGAACCACCTGGAAGATGGCATCCACAGCGCGAATGTGTGACAGGAAAGAGTTACCCAGACCGGCTCCAGTCGAGGCACCGCGGGTAAGACCGGCAATATCATACACGGTCAAGTTGGCAGGAACCTGAGACTTGGGCTTGTAGTGCTGGCAGAGCCAGTCGAACCGCTCATCGGGAACGATGACGCGGGCCTCCTCGGGGTCAATGGTGGCATAGGGGAAATTGGCCGGGTTACCGAGGGAGGACTTGGTGATGGACTGGAAGAGTGTCGACTTGCCGACATTGGCAAGACCAACCTGAAGCCATATTGTTAGTCAATCATGGTTGAGAAGAAAAGGAAAAAAAAAAGGTGCGAGGAAAGGGGGCAAGGGGGTTT